GCCATGATGGTGACTGCATTGATGAAGACAATTGTAAGTGATCTCGTCGGTAAGATAGGACCACGAAGCTAATTGATCGTCTCGCCTCAAGCGAACATTTTGCGAACTTTATGAACAGGTAAATCATGACAACTCGTCCAAGTGGTAAGCCTTGCTGACTCGGATCATACAACAGGAGGTCCCTTATATTCCCGTCACTCGAGCAGAATGCGAGGCGAGCAAATATCTTGTCTGCTCGAGCTCCCCTATACCGATGCGATCGCATGCTGTCTATCACTTCCACATGACTGCTGGTGGCATTGACGATGAGTCACCGAAAGGTCCATATCGTCTACCTTGGCCCTTCTCCCAATCGACTCTGTGCATCAGTCATGTGCTGATGTGTCTACCCGATACAAAGCCCAAGCCAATATGGCCTTATACCACCGTGTGTCTCGGCATTCGAAAGAAAAGCTTCTTGTGGATTAAATCCTGGCGTCCATTGGGTGATCCTCATTGTCCTCGGTTGGCTTCTCGCATCTTTCCAAGCCTGGAACTCCGAAAGACCCGGGGAATGCTGGTGGATTTTTCTGGCTTGATGGCAGGTGAGCCATACCTTCGCAGACGGCCAGATTGTTAGTGCAAGTCTGTGTGCAAGGAGAAGGTGAGGCAAAGACCCCGTAATATCGAGCCCACAGATTAACATTACCATATCAGCTAAGAATCGAGAAAAGGAGACCATCTAGTCCCGAGTCACAGCCGAGCCGACTCAAGAGCCACGAGCTACGAATCACCGACCTTTACTGTCCTACCTGATCCTACTCCGCGTTGCTGAGCCATTCGACGTATTTGAGCGGGTGGAGACGAACGAGCGGAAACGAACCAATTGAACATGCACGTCGCTGCATCAAGGGCGCTGCCAGAAATGTTGTGGTGTCTTTGGACAGATTTTGGTATACTTGATCCCCAGGCACGCTTTTCTACCCAAGCCGGAGCAACACATGCAAAGACCATTCACCCTGGAAGTCACTGCAGCTGCAGGTTAGTCAAGCTGACCACTTGTGTTCTTTGTCCATTGACGTTGTTTTAAAACGTATCCCGCGCAAGCAGCTCTTACTAGGAATGGCCGGATTCTCTACGTCCCCTACGTCGAATGTCCTGTATCATCAGCTATTTATTAGACACACCGCGCTCTGGACGACATGTGGCATATCACTGTTCGGACAGATTCACTGAAGGTGGCATTGATGTCCCTAACAAAACCACCCAGAGCCATCCTGCTGTGCGACCTCTTTGACTATCTACGACAACCTATGCTGAAGTTTCTACCTCTAATCAGCGTTCATGTGATTGCGTTCGGGGAAAATGGAATAGGGGAATGTCTGCGGCTCCAAGCCAAGTAGATCACACCACAAAAGTCCGTCGTAAATGTTGGTGGAGTCGTCTTTCATCTCTGGTCAAGATGGCGCTTGCTAGACCCCGATCGGGCTGCAACCATGTTCTCTGGGCAGCAGAGTATGCTTGATCGCATGAACTGGGGTACTACGCCCAAAAAGCAGTGATCGCCAATTTGAGTGCAGTGTGGTTGCTACATGGGAGATGGGCTCGCAATATAAATCGTAGTTGCTGGCGGAGATTACTGACAAGGGCGCGACGTCTCTCATTTGTAGAAGGAGCCGATCGGATATTTATAAGCCAAAGAAGCCTAAATTGGTTGTATTTGTTGCGAATCCACTTTGACTATCGCGACCGTTCTAGGATGTAGGCATTCTACAGTGGAGTAGATTGAGTGACTTGCAAGCCGCCTGAAGCGATAAATTTGACTACGCAAGGAACAGTCTATCGCATCACGATGTTTAGTTGAGACAACAAATGGTATTTCGAGCGGCTCCTCTTCAAATGCTTCTACACCTGGTAGGTCTGATCTTGAGCGTATTGCCTGATTGTAGCTGAACCGAGGGAAATCCGGTGTTTGCATTCGACCAGCTCAACCAAATCGGAGACTGTATGCGAACTTAACTGAATGATCAGCTGGGGACAAGAAATGACGCGAATTGAAACAATGAAACTGATATCTCTGTCATGTGGATGAGATGGCAAGAAAGGGCTCGCGCTTAAGGCCGTGAGACGTTGACCACCACTCACCTTCACCGCCCGGCCATATACCACCACAACACACATCAACACCCTCGTCAACGTTCATCAACGTTCATCAACGACCATCAACGCTCATCAACACCCTCGTCAAC